ACAAACTCTGTTTAGCATGAAGAAAGCAGTCTTCTGGGATGTGGCACTGTGTAGATGTGGTGTTAACCGACGTTTCGGAGGAACGTATCACCTCCATCTTGAGGGTCAAAGGAAAAATAAGAAAATGTGCAAGCAGACTAATGTTGGATATAAACTCAGCTATATGAGACCATCGCTGATGACGTAAGAGCCAGGCACTGCAGGAAGTTCGGACATTTGCATGAGGCCCATCACCCACCCAGCCCACCTGACAGCAAGAAGACTTTGGTCAATCTGAGTGAAGTGCCACTGGAAGAAGTGGCTTTCCCGGCCCTGAGCAAGGGCCTCAATTTTGCTGCGGCTCCAGTGTCTGTTCCCATTAAGGATATCCTGTGTGGGGTGGAAAAGGCAATAGTGGCCCTGCCTGTAGAGACTGCAGAGGAGATCCGACAGGAGACAGTCAGGATTCTCAAAAACTCCCACAAACCCAAGGACAATCTGACTGTTGCTGAGAGGAGAGCCCTTCGGTCCTTAAAAGCCAATGAGGCACTCACCGTCCTTCCTGCTGACAAGGGTAATGTGGCTGTGGTACTGGATACGTCAGACTACAACTGAAAAACCGAAAGATCGCTGCTCTCTTGGAGGATAAGGCCTACAAAAAGTTGAAGAAGGATCCTACTGACGCAAGACTGTTCTTCTCCTGAAAAAGTCCCTGATTTTTGAGGAGATATGCCAACAACTATGACCTCAAGGTTCCAGGCCACCTAGACTCTACGGGTTGTCAAAGATCCATAAGCCTGATGTTCCACTAAGGCCCATTGTGAGCACCACTGGCTCTCCTACCTATCACCTGGCCAAACACTTGGCTGGCCTACTGAGCACATACACTGGCAACTGTCCACACCATGTACTTGTAAGTAACTCCATGGAAGTTGTCCACATTTTAGGCTCTCTCCATGTCGATCCCCACAACATAATGGTCAGTTTCGATGTAGTGTCACTCTTCACCAGGGTGCCTATAAAGGTTACTATGGATCTGCTAGGACAACATTTCGAAGACGACATCTTGAGACTCTTCCGCCATGTCCTGACCACCTCATACTTCAACTTCAATGGCCAGTTCTATGAACAAACCGATGGTGTGGCGATGGGCTTGCCACTTTCTCCAGTCATCTCTAACCTACATATGGAGGACTTCGAGGAAAAGGGCACCTGACTTTGCCCTACACAAGCCCCACTGCTGGTTCTGCTACGTGGATGACACCTCTGTCATCTGGCCACATGGTCCCGACAAGCTCAAGGACTTCCTGAACCAATTAAATAGTATCCACCAGTGCATTCAGTTCACAATGGAAACTGAAACTGAAGGCCACCTTCCCTTCCTGGATATAGATATTTACAGGAGAATCAATGGATCTTTGGGCCATAGAGTGTACCGCAAATCCACCCATACAAACATCTACCTTAATGCTGCATCCCACCACCACCCTTCCAATAAGCAAGCTGCACTTTCCACATTGGTTTACAGGGCTAGAGCTCTTTGTGATCAAGACAGCCTACATGCAGAGTTGGTGTTCCTGGGGGATGCATTCAGGAAGAACAGATATAACAACTGGCAGATCCATGGAGTTCTCAACCGTCGGCCCAACATCAGCCAGCCTGAAGATAAACTGGGCTCGGTCGCCTTCCTTCCCTATGTCGGGACTATATTCAACCGTATCAGCAGAATGCTGTCCTGGCACAACATCAAATCAGTGGGTCTGCCTCCAAACAAATTATCCAGTTTCCTCTGGAGGGTCAAAGATAGCTTGGGACTAAAGACACCGGGTGTACACAGTATCCCATGTGAGTGCGGCAAGGTCTATATTGGGCAGATGGGCCGCTCCGTGGACATGAGGTTGAAGGAGCATCAGCGGCACATCCATCTCAAACATCCAGACAAGTCAGCTGTAGCTGAAGACAGCATCGATTTGGGACACCGCATTCAGCTTCAGAATACCTCCATCCTCACCACCAAGACCCGATATATGGATCACATCTTTAGGGAAGCCATTGAGATTGAACTCCATCCCAACAATATGAAAAGAGAGTGGGGTTTTGTCTGAACAAGTCATGGAAGCCTCTCATCTGTTCCCTAAACCCCCGCCCANCATGTAGACTTGTTGCCCCTCCTTCCTTCCCTGCTCTCATATAGTTGTTTATTTCCAACATTAGTCTGCTTGCACCTGTTCTCACTGTCTCTTCGCCTGCAGATTTTCTAATTTTTCCTTCTACCCTGAAGATAGAGGCGATACGTTCCTCCGAAACGTCGGTTAACACCACATATACACGGTGCCAAATCCCAGAAGACTGCTTTCTTCATAGTCACCGCCGTGAAAACCTCAAATCTTACATCTGTTTAGCATGTTTGTGATGGCAACCAACCAGGAGGTCACTAAGTGGTTTCAAAATTAAGTATCAGTAGCAACTAGGAACATGGAAACATGTAAGCTTCTGCCACAACCATAACATTTGTTATAAAATGTTAACCCATTTCACAAATTATGATAAGAATGCAGAAAGATTATTTTCTGTGAACTTAAATACATCATATCAACAACAGCTGCAAAAGAGATTGATTAAGCCTGGAGTCCTGTTTCTCTAAGATCCACTTTAATATTATCCTCCCACCTTCATATAGGTTTTCCTAGTGTTATCTCAGGCTTCCCCATCAAGACCCTGTTTGCACTGCTCTTGTCCCATGTGTGCGCTACATATCATTCCCACCTCACCATCCTAGACTTGATTGTTCTAGCTATATTTAGCAAGACGCACAAGTCATGAAGCTCCTCATGCAATTTTATTTCTCTGCCCTCCTAATATTTCACCCCTTTTCAGTCCAAACATTCTCCTCAGCACCCTATTCTCAAACATCCTTAGCCTATGTCCTTCCCTAATGTCAAAGACCAAGTTTCATGTCCATAGAAAACTAAAGGCAAAATTATAGTTTTGTATATTTTAATCATTATTTTTTTAACAGCAGATGAGAAGATGAAATGTTCTGAACTACAAGATAGCAAGCACTGACCGAACTTAATCTGCTCTTAATTTTCTCATGAATCAAATTTGTATTTATTACTGTTACTGCTAAACATTTGATTGCCACAGTTTCAAATGATTTATTAGTTACCTTTATGTTATGATACTGCCCAGCATTCTGGTAATCAGACATCAACATGTACTTAGTTTTCTCTTGCGTTTATTTCTAGAACAACCTCTTTACTAGCATCAGTTACAGCTTCTGTGTTTCTCTTTATGGTATTTATGTTATTCTCCAGTAGATTTACATTGTCAGCACAGACCAGAAGCTGATGTGTCCCATTTAATCTTGACGTCTACTAACAGCTGATGTACTGTCTCATTGTACTCCCGCTTTTTCTCTAGTATCTGGTGAATGCAAAGAAATTTGATCAGCAGGTGATCTACATATTGAGTTGAAATCCACAGAGATGATCCCCAGTGATTTCAGATACATATGGACATAACCTTGAGAGAAAGAAAATGGGTAACATGTTGTATGAAGTTGATAACAATAATTACTGCAGTCAGATTTATCACCCTTCTTGTAAACTGGTATAATAATAGATTCCTGCCACTGCTCAGGCAATTCTTCCCTATTTCAAATAAAAATAACGAGTTTATGGATTTCAGAATTAAATGTTTCACACGCTTCAATCAGTTTTGCAGGAATTTGATGAATACCTGTCGATAATGCCTTTCAACTCTGCACTGGCATTTTCAACCTCAAAAGGACTAGGCTCTGGTATTAATGGCTCAGCCATATGTATTTCTGTCAGCCTAACAGTACATCTTATGTATATGTAATAAATGAGCGTAGTAATTCTTTCACCTTCTAGTACCTGTTATTATATATAACAAAACCAACTACAATAATAACTAAATACTGTGTTATTGTTGCTTTCACCTTCCTGTTATTCAAGGTAATACTAAAAACTGTTCATCTTGTAGTCAAGATATTTTTGGACACTTCACATTTACCATCGTATTAAATATATATTTCAGAAATTCTTGAAACACCTGTATAAACTACATACCCTGCAGTGTGAAGTCACTAACAACACTAAATAACTACAAATTTATAAACAAAGTGGCATCTCTAGCATTCTTTAAATATCACATACAGCAAGGCTATGGCAGCATTCTATTCACACAGGGTGCTTTCCTGAACAATCTGAAAGGGCACTTGCATTTCTTAACTTGACAAAGGCTCCAAACTTCACTTAAAACAAAAGGCAAGTTTGGTAGAGTCCCGATTATTCGACCTGCGGCTATACAACATGGAGAGTGAGTCACAGTAAAAAGGTAAAGGCTCCTGAGGTGGCATTGGCTTTTGCTCAACAAGGGGAAACAACTGCTACTAATGTCACATTACTGAGACAATGGCAAGACTTCACTACAAGGAAGAGAAGCAAAGCTGGGAAACAAACTTCAACCAGTAATTTTTTTGAACAATAGGTTATTGGTGGGAAAGCCAGAAGGAAAGAGACCACAGGGAAGACCAAGGCATAGGTGGGTGGAAAGTATTAGAATGGATCTTAGAGAGATTGGATGGGATGGTATGGATTGGATAGATCTGGCTCAGAATAGAGACCAGTGGAGGGCTCTTGTGAACG